ATAATTTTTTTTAACATTAAAGATAATATTAAAAAGTATAACAGTATTTTAAATTTAATATTATATAATTTGTAATATAAAATACTTTAGTAAAGGAAGAAATCATGTCCTCTAAATATAACAAAAATGCAAAACACAAACCAAGATATTATTGACAAGAGAGAGCACCAATCGGTAAGCATTGAGAACTAAAAGTTTAAATTTGATATTGTCAAAATGGACTAAAAATACATGTTTTTAGTTCCTCAACTTGTAATAAATGCATTTTTTTTGTACCTCCACTTTGAGTTAAGGGATTAAAAAAAGTATATATTTAGATAAATTTAATAAAGTAATTGATAAAAAGATTAAGAAAATATATTTTTTATAGTTGGTGGACTAAAAATAGTTGGTGGACTAAAAAAAATACATAAAAAATTAAAAAAATAAAAATTATACAAAACATTAAACTTAAAGACTAAAAATAAAATTTATCATTTTTAAATTTGAAATAATTTGCACCAACCAACTTTTGGTGTACCAGCTTTTTACCTTGAAAGATCGACCGGCACATTAAAATTTGATCAAAATGAAAAAAATGTAACTAAAATAAAATTAAATCATGTATTATTTTAAATTAAAGCATGTATTATTTTAAATTAAAAATAAAAATTGGTATGTACTGCTATACCAACCGATAGAAAACCAAATCAACAACTTTGAAACGGAGACCCTGCCATTAATTTCGATTTTTATTTCATGTACTAGAGCCAGCACATTAACATGTTGGAACTCTGTCCCTAAGTTTAGAACTTTTTTTAACAGTCAAAGCCACTTCAACTACCAATAACTTCTTTTAACAGTAAGACAAATTAATTTGGTTCTTACTGTTTACCAATTTAGCTCTAATTTGGTTTTTCTGTTAAATAATAACTCAGGGACCAAATTGAAACGAAATTGTGAATAGTAAGGAGCAAATTGAGGGTCTGTACAATAATTTAAAGATCAACTTAGGTCAAATTATAAACAGTGGGGACCAAATCGGGATCCGTACAATAGTTTAGGGACTCAATCAGAAATTTCTTTAGTTGAAGGACCAAATTAAAGTTTGTACAATAGTTCAGGGACCAAAATGGGGATTTAACCTTCATTCTCTCTTAATTCTCCACATCTCTGGTTGCCTTCCAGCTAGTACTCCGTTTAGCAGCCATGGCCGAGGGGAAGGTTTGTGCTAATTAAATACCCCATTTCTTTTTTTTCCTTTTTGGGAAAAGGATAGGTTTTTGTATTTTAGTTGATGCAACGGCATAGCTTCCTAATTAATTTTGCTCATCTGATCTGCCCTTTCTTCTATGTCAGAACGTGAATCTTCTTCTTCCACATAATCCTTTTATGGAAACTTCCTTCTCTTCTAATATATATATATATACTTGCTTTTACAGGTGACTACAATGGTGCTAAATGTGGATTTACAGTGCTCAAAATGCTACAAGAAAGTCAAGAAACTTCTCTGCAAATTTCCTGTTGAGTCTCTTTCTCCAATTTTGTTAACATAATTTCCGTACGCATTGAATAAATTGATCAGCGTAATGGACTGAGTCGTTGTGTTGTGAACAAATTAATTAAAGAAATACGAGATCAGGAGTATGATGAGAAAGCAAACAAGGTGACAATTAAGGTGGTGAGCAGCTCGCCGGAGAATATCAGGGACAAGTTATGC